TTGGGAGTTAAGTTGAAAAGATGGAAGGAATAAGCATAAAAAATGAAGTAAGCACTGAACTTTAGGCCAGAGAGACCAAAGCAAATGATGGTGTCCTATACATGAGAAATGTCAACAATTTTAGAGTCAGGATCTACTAAGACTGCCCAAGACAGTCTATAACCTGTATATGATCTATGTTGGCTTTAAAAGTGAGTTAATTCAATAAATGGTACTGGGACAACTGGACATCCATATGCAAAGGAAGAGAGATGGGCCCCTTCTTCACCTATGCACAAACATTAACTCAAAGTAGACCTAAAGGACCTAAATGTAAGCATTCAAACTATAAGAAAACATACATGTAAATCTTTGTGACCTTGCGTTACGCAATGGTTTCTTAGATATGACAGCAAAACCACAAGAAACCGGAAAAGAAATAGAATAGTTGGACTTCATCAAAATGAAAAATGCGTATGCTTCAAAAGATACCATCAAGTAAGTGCAATGACAATACACTAAGTGGGAGAAAATATTTGCAAATCATGTATCTAATAAGGTACTTGTATCTAGAACATATAAAGAACTCCTACAACTCAACAATAAAAAGACAGATAGCACAATTAAATAACGGGCAAATGAGTTAAATAGACATTTCTCCAAGAAGATATACAAATGGCCAATACACACATGAAAAGATGCTCCACATTATTAGTCATCAGTGCAATCAAAACCATGATGAGTTACCATTTCACACACTAGGATGACTAAAATTAAAACAAACTGATAATAAGTGTTGACAGGGATGTGGAGAAATTTGGAACTCTCATATATTGCTGTTGAGAATGTAAAATAGTGCAGCCACTTTGGAAAGCAGTCCAGCAGTTTCTTACAAGGTTATGCCTAGAGTTACCACACAGCCCAGCAATCCCACACTTAGGAATATACTCAGGAATATATGATGAAAACATGTCCACACACCTGTTGAATACAAGTATTCATTACAACATTATTCTGTGTAGCCAAAACAGTGGAAACAACCCTAAATGTCCATCAACTGATAAATAAATAAACAAAATGTAGTATATCCATATGCTGGAATATTATTCAGCAAGGAAAATGATTTAGTCCATCCTAGCTACTATAACAAAATACCGTATACTGAGTAGCTTAAAAATAACAGAAATTGCCGGGCTCGGTGGCTCAGCCTGTAATCCCGTGCTTTGGGAGGCTGAGGTGAGTGGACTG